TTCTATTATTCCATTTACATGAAACATCCAAAATAGACAAATTAAGCCAGAAAGTAGATTAGTAGTTGCCAGAGGCTGGAAGGGGATGAGGAAATTGGGGGATCATGGCTAAAGAGTGCTGGATTTCTCTTTAAGGTGATGAAAATGTTCTACAATTGACTGTAGTGATGTGATGGATGCACCGATCTGTGAATATACTAAAAGCCACTGAACTGTACACTTCAAATAGGTGAATAGCATGGTACATGAATTACATCTCATTAAAGTTGTTAAAAGAAACACACCCAAGGGCTCAGCACCAGCCAAGAAGGATGCTGAACACTGCTTGAAATGTCCTACCACAACCCCCAAAGGCCAAGGGGTCCCACTTAAAACTTTCATGAAGGGTGAGGGGAGTGGCAACAGGGAAGAGACTATAACTTGCTTCAGAGCAATGAGTCCAACCTCCCTCCTCACCACTACCCATTTCATGGAGGGAGAAACCAAGAACCAGAAAAGGGAACTGGCTGAAGACCACACAAAAGCTTACTGCAGAAACAGGACTGAAATCCACATTGCCTGGGAAAAGACCCCTTCCTGCTTTCCCACCAGCTAGCTACCCAATTCCAGTTGGGGTAAGAAGAACCCAAGAAATCAGCAGGTTCCTAGATGCCAAATGAAGGGCTTTTGCTACCAAAGATAGGTTACTAGGAGTGGACAAAAGCTCCTAGGAAGAACGAAGATGAACCTGGGGCAAACTGCCCATTCTGGGCAAGAGGAAGAACCAGTCAAGGTCCAAGGTGAGCAAGATCAGATACACCTGGGCACGGACAAACTTTTGCAAAAAGGGCAGCTGAGGGGGGAAGTAGTTTACCTAAAGCTATAAAGCAGGTAAGGAGGAGGTGCTGAAGTCTGGAAGGTGATGAGAGAATTGAGGGATGATGGCTCAAAGCTTGCCTTGCTCCAAAGCCCCAACTCCACACACAACTCTACCTCCATACCACTATCCAACAGGCCTCCTGACAGGAAATCCCACTGAGCTTGTTCATTACAACAGGGCTGCCCACAAAAAAAGGCTGTTCATCCACCGTGAGCCTCACACAAAACAGGCTGCTTGTCCTGCCCACCAAGCTTGGATGGCTGAGAGGGAACAGAGGAGCCAGGAAGAGAGGGAAGAAACCCAGTTCCTCCTCAAAAGACATCCACCATTCTTTGCCACCTCCAGGTCCAGAGAGCTTTGGACTGAGTTCCCTAAAATCCCAAACAACACCTCACCAGCATCTTGCCTGGCCAGTGAGGAAACTGAGGCCCAGAGCGCATAGGTAGAACCTACCCTGCTTCATCCAGCAAAGCCCTGAAAGACCCAGAGTTGGAACCCAGGCATCAACTATGGTGCCACGCTCAGCTTTTTCCACCACCTCAGTTCACATGCCCCTTCTCAAAGAGTTCTGTGGGGTCTCCAAACTCAGGATGCTTACAGGCCAACCTTTTCATAGAGCAGACTCTCAGCAAGACAGCCATGCCTGGGAACCCCTGACATCACCACCCACCCAGCACCTGGACCCCACGGTGCCAAAGACTCCTAAAGGAAGTAGGGATACAAGAGAATCAGGACAAAGAGGAAGCCCAAGTAGTCAGAACCCCAGAATCGCCATCCAGACTCCCTCTTAATGACGCCTCTCTTCCCAAGGAATCCAACTGACCTCCAGGCTACAAACACCCCTAGTGATAGTTTAGGACCAAGACTGGGGTGGCAGGAGGAATCTTCCCTCTTCTCATCCCCAAAAGTTCTCAAGTTGGACCAGGTGAGGCAGGGAAAAGAGGATCACCTTATTTGTCCCAAAAAGTGTGGGGACAGAAAGCCTCTCCTGTCATTGGGAAGGGCGGGTTTCATGAACCCACAGAACTTGATTTTCATATTCTGTTTTTTAATTAATAAAGATGAGGTCGGCCGGGCGCGGTGGCTCACACCTGTAATCCCAGCACTTTGGGAGGCCGAGGCGGGCGGATCACGAAGTCAGGAGATCAAGACCATCCTGGTGAACACGGTGAAACCCCATCTCTACTAAAAATACAAAAAAATTAGCTGGGCGTGGTGGCGGGCCCTGTAGTCCCAGCTTCTAGGGAGGCTGAGGCAGGAGAATGGCGTGAACCTGGGAGGCGGTGGAGCTTGCAGTGAGCTGAGATCGCACCACTGCACTCCAGCCTAGGCAACAGAGCGAGACTCCGTCTCAAAAAAAAAAAAAAAAAAAAATGATGAGGTCTCACTATGTTGCCAAACAGGTCTTGAACTCCAGGGCTCAAGTGATCCTCCCGCCTCAGCCTCCCGAGTAGCTGGGACTACAGGTATGGGCCACTATGCCCGGCTTACTCCCATGTTCTTATGGGGACAAGTATAAGAGAGGGACTGCAAGGGGCATAAGGAGGTGTTTTTGAGTTACCATGGCAGCACAGGATGTTCTTTCTCTCTGTTGATGGAACCAGGGATGTATGGCTCCCTGTTTCTAGAGAAGGAAAGAAACTACCCAACCACAGAGAGAAGAAATAACTGGTCCTGACCCTTGAGTACAGATGGCTTATCGTGCCAGAATTAATGATGGGAGGAAGGGAACAAGAACAGGGAGCTCAAGACAAGGCTTGGGGCCCCTGTGAAGTACAGAAAGATTTACCTGAGCCAAGGGGAAAAGGAATGTGGGAGGAGAATTTCCCCAGAGTGGCGATGTCCCAAACCCCTTTCCTGTCCCTGGGAAGAAAAAAGCTTGTCAAAAGCAGTTCAAAACTTATTATATGATCTAGAGGTGAGAAGCAAGCATAGCTAGGTCAGGGAGAAACTCTGAATCGCTCCTGGTTTCAGAAGGGAGGCTTCAGACTCCATGTCCCCAGGACCTGACAATCTTCTCATAGAAAGTAGGAGGATCTTCTCGGCCCTGGCCACGAGGGAGCTCAGGATAAGGGGTTCATATGACCCTGAAGAGCATCCAGGTCCTTCTGTCCAATGGGAGAGGATGACCTCACGTTCCTCTCCCGGTAGAGAAAGGAATGCCTGGTGTGGTAGGGGGAGAGCCTCATGCCCAAGTGGGAGCCAGGCCCCAGTCCCTAAGGCAAACGATATCTTGTCCCAGAGAGGAAGCTCGGGCCCAGACTCTTTTCCTCAGAATCCTACTCTACTCATGTCCCCGAAAGGAATTGGGAATCTGAGGCCCAAGTCCCCGAGGCAGGAAATCTTACATCCCTAAATGACCCCTATGACTAGGGTGTATGTATGTTGTCTGAGGTGAGGTGACAGTACCCTAAGGACAGGTTCAGAAATCAGGTCCTAAGGTGGGGAACAGGCCTTCGCACACCTGAGGTAGGATTCAAACCCTTGGAGGTAGACTCAGGACCCTGTTCCACAGGGATCCTTTATCCATGCCCCAAGGGAAGGGTCTCAGGGCTCAGGTGTCGGGGGAGGAGTCCTCCTGTTTCTCAGGGGTACACCTTAAGTTCCTTGAGGAGGAAGCTCAGACCTTACCTCTAGACACACAAGTCACCAGAGTATGTATGAGTCTCCCGTCCCTGAAGGAAAGCTCAAGTGTCCTTGGCAGAGTGGGTCTCAGGCCCTTAAAAGTAGGCAGAGATCTGTAGGGAGGCCCCAGACATCATCTCTGGGATCCCATGTTGCCCATGTCCCCTGAGTAGTCGTCTCAGGCTCAAGTTCCCAAGGCAAGGGTCATATGTCCCTGACAAGAAGCTTAGGCCCAAAGAGGGGAGGGCCTCAAACCCCTGTTACAAAAGGGAAAATGAGATACTGTATCCCCAAGGTATGTTTCAGTCCCTTATAATTGGGGTAAAAAGGTCACATATGCTTGTGGGGTAGGGAGTCTCGGACTCCCAAAACCACTCAGACACTAGTCTTGAGAAGAAGAATCTCCTAAGGCTTCACCTTGTCTGAGACCTTTGCAGCAGAACACCACGCCCCCGAAGAGGCCTCAGACTCGGTCTCTAAAAACCTCAGTCCATAAGCAGGTGGATCTTAGGCCCTAGGATCCAACGCTGTGAGTCTTCATTTTCCTGAAGAAAGGTTCAGGCCCCTGGTGGGGGCGCTGAGGGCCCATCTCTTCTTACAAGAAGCTTAAGATCCTGAAGAGAGTCAGGGCCTTGTCTCTGAAGAGGTAGGTCTCAGTCACTGATAGGAAATGCAGACCTTTGTCACTCAGAAAGCGGATGAGTCTCTTGTACTCAAGTAAAGCTGCTGGTCCTTGGGTGTTGGTTTCGGTCCCTGTCCCCACGGGCAAGGGAATCATATCTCCCTGCGAAAAGTCTTACATCCCTGGAAAAAGCTTAGAAGATCCCTGTCCTTAAAGGGGGCGTGTGTGTGTGTGTGTGTGTGTGTGTCAGGACCTTGATTCTACAATAAGGACTCTCAGGCCCCTGCAGACAGACTTAGGACCCTTGAGGTCTCAGGTCTGGCTATTCAGTGGTCCTGTGCCATGTTACCTAGCAAAGCAGGAGAGGACTGTCCTACATGCAGAGTGTCTTAGACTCTTGAAAGGGCTTAGGCTCCTTGGGGATGTTCAGACCTGATCTCTGAGGTCTCCACCTTATTTGACTTTCCTGGAGGAGGAATCTCAAACTTCTATCCCAAAGGAAAAGAGCTCTTAAGCCACTGAACACAGACCTAGGTCTTTTGGAAGACCTGAGACTCCTGCTCAAGAGGGGCGCGATCCTACCTGTGTCTCTTGGAGAATTCCCACCTATTGGCCCTACAAGATGAGGTCCCAAGGACTGAAATGACGATTACAGACCCTAAAAGAGGCCTCGGATCCCATCTTTAAGTCTGCCACCTTATCGTAGGCCTCTAGCCCCAAATCCCTGGAGGGGAGGAAAGAAGGCATCTCACACCCCTACCACTAGAGAAGACTGTCAGGCCCAGTGAAAACGCCTAAATCCCTTGGGGCGATCTCAAACAGCCTTCCTTGAGTCTCTTCAGTCTGGGGGTCCCATCTGCCGTAGCCGCCCACCCCTCATCCCGCAGCTCTTACCTGCTCGACAGTGGCAGGGTCCATAGCCTCGATGCGTGCTGCAGCCGCCTCATACTCGTCCTCACTGTTGTAGCCTGCGCCGACCTCCTCACGCTCGGGACTGCCCCCGCCAACCGCGCCAACCCCAGGAGCTTGACGTCGCCGCTTGCTGTGCCCAGGCCCGGAGCAGCAGCCGCCCACGCCTACGGCACCACCCACACCCACCACCACGCCCGCGGCACCCACACCCGCCGCCGCTGCGCCCAGCGCGTCGCCGGGACCGCCGCCGGGACCACCTGGGCCCCCGCAAGGAGGTGGAGAAGCCTGTTGTGGCCGGGGACCCGCCACTGCACCAGGCGGCACGGCCAGCGCCCAGCGATGAAGTGCGCCCGGCGGTCCTGGTAGCGGGCCTTGAGGCGGTGGCGAAGCTCGCGGACGGGCCCCCACGACGCCGGAGTCACGGTCGCGATCGCCGCCGCCCACGCCCGTGCCGCCGCCGCCCACGCCCACACCACCGCCGCGCCGCGGCGCCGGGGGCAGCGGCCCGGGCGGCGGCGGCTCGTTGGCGGGGTCGGCGTCGGGAGGCGGCGGCTTCTTTTTGGGGAGTATAGTCATGGCTGCACCACCGAGTACCCCCCAACAAACCCGGCGCGAGGCACGCCGGGAGAGAACCCGGATGAGGGGGGCTAGTGTAGTGCGCTAAGCACGACGGGAACGGCGAAACCCGGATAAAGGGATCGCGGCACCGGTTCGAGAACCCTCGGCGGCGGCGGCGGCGGCGCGCGGGTCACGCCGGGAGGAGAACCCGGATGTAAAGTCCAAGATGAAGGCAATGCGGCGAGTTTGTCGGAACCTTCTCTCCAAGTCCAGCAAATTTATTGCTACGCTTGTTCCGGCCTTCTGCTTCAAAGGAAACAGAACCAAAACAAGCACCTCTTCGCTCCGCCCCCTCGCAGGTTCTTGCACTACCGGGTGGGGCCCCGGGGCGCTGCGCACGCGCGCCAGGGCACAGCCCCGCCCCTTGCTCGGAAGTACGTGGGCAAAATCGCCGCCGCAGCCACAACAATTGCGAACACCAACCAATTGAGCAGCTGCGTGGGTCCTCGACGACGCCCACGGGCCAATCACAGGCGAGTGCTCGCCCTCCGGTGCCCTCCGTCTCAAATTTCAGTCAAAGTCGACACCCTGGTTCCCAGCCTTTCTCCCCGTCGGTCCCGTCTTGCTCTTCACTTTTCTCCCCGAAGCTCTGACTCGCAGTCGTCGGTACTGGGGACGGACAGCGTGGCCTGTCCCACGTACGACAGGAAAAACACCTCCCCTCCAGGCTTCCAACTTGAACGCTGTCAGCCGGAATGACTGGAAAACATCAACACTCCCAGAGCCTAGCATTCCCCTGTAGCGTCACTTCCGGTCCCACCCACCTACAAATATCCTTCCGGGGGAGGCGGACACCGCTTCACCCCGGCAACAGCCTGAGTTCTGCGGTGATTGGCTAAAAGACGCCGTCACTCGCGTCATACCGACCAACCTTGGGACAGACAAGCACCGTGGGGACAGTGGTTGTTTGGGAAACAGACACGCCTTCTCTGGCACCACAGCACTCTCGCCCTCGCGTTGACCTCCCCGGCCCTACGGCTAGTGCGCAGGCGCGGCCCAGCCTTTTTTTTTTTTTTCCCCCCCCTCTAATCGAGACGGGGGTCTCACTCTGTCGCCCAGGCTGGAATGCGGTGGCGCGATCATAGCTCACTGCAAACTCCAACTCCCAGGTTCAAGCGATCCTCCCGCCTCAGTCTCCCGAATAGCTGGAACCGCAAGCGCGCACCACTACGCCCGGCTAATTTTTTTTTCACTTTTTTGTAGGGACAAAGTCTCGCTATGTTGCCCAGGCTGATCTCCAGCTCCTGGGCTCAAGCGATCCTCCCGCCTCGGCTTCGCAGAGTGCTGGGATTACAGGCATGAGTCACTGCGCCTGGCCAAGCCCAGCCTTTTTCTAAAACTGAGTTTGCTTGGGTCGATCGAGGTTTATGAATCAGCTCTGTCACCAGTCAGCGTCTCGAAATGGGGTTGGCAGAATCCCTGCTATTGAGTAGCTGGAGAGCTACACGCTAATTCTAGCTCTGCCCTTCCTGTCTGATTGATCTTTGTCAGTCATTTAACTCCCACCCCGTCCTCAATTTTTGTTATTGTTGTTGTTTACTTTTTTATAGAACGCTTCACGTATTTGCGTGTCATCCTCTCGCATAGTGCCATGCTAATCTTCTCTGTATCGTTCTAAGTTTAGTATATGTGGTGCGAAGTGAGCACCCATCCTCAATTTCTATTCTATAAATTGGCAATGATAATTCCAATCTGAGGATCAGAGATTAATGCTTCTGAAGGGCCTGGTGTTGTGCCCAGCACATAGGAAGTGTTCAATAAAGTAGTCTGCATGGTGGTGCAGTGGAAGGATCCTAGGCTTTGGAGCCAGAAAGACCTCAGTTCCAGGCACAGATGGACCATTACCAACTGTATGATCTTGAGCAAGTCATTGTGTTGCTTTTGAGATTACCCATGTGTAAAACGGGAATGATAATGCCTGCCCAGACTACCTCAGGGAATGGTTATGGGGTTCAGATGAGCTGATGAACCAAGAAGGTATTTGGAGTTCACTTCCAGTCTTAGGAGACAAGCCATACAACAGGTTGACTGAAAGAGACCATGGGAAAGCTGTTTTGAGTATAGCCTTGCCTCCCTTCAGATACTAACCCTAGTTGAAGTTCTTCCCTGAAAGGTGTAAGTAATAAATGGGTTCTAAGTAGTGTTTTCTGCTCAAGAGACTTAATGGGAGGAGGGGACTTTCATGTTTACCAGGCCTGTTGTGTTCATAGCTCTGTGCCAAATGCACATTATCACATTGAATCTTCTCATGATCATCTCACTCTAGCCCCATATGTTTCACTCACTACACATCTAAAACTGAACTCAAGATAGTAATCATGGCTACCCTTCACCAAGTACTTACTATGTACCTAGCACTGAGTGCTAACAGCTTTGATGTTCCCTTTACCAGGGAATAGCACTCCCATCCAGCCGTTGTCCAAGCCAGAACCTGGGAGTCAACCTTGACTGCTCCCTCTTCCTCAAGTCCCACATGCCTGTCAATCCCAAGTCCTGCCAATTCTACCTCCCAAATCTCTAGACTCTGCAATTCTACTGCCACTACTCTAGTCCAAGCCACTGTCCCCTACCACCTAAACTATTATAAAAGCCTCCTCCCTACTTTTCTTCCTTCCAGGACTGTTTCTCTATATCTACTCTCCATAGCCAGAATGATCATTCTGAAACACAAACTTCATCATGACTTTTCTGTTTAAAAGCCTTTAGAAGTCCCCACTATCTTTAGGATGAAGTTCAAAATTCGCATCATAGCGTCAAAGCTTTTTGTTATCTGGCCTACCTCTCCATCCTTCCTCTCCTCAGCCCCACACTCTCCTCCCCAGCTGGACTGAAATACTTTCAGTTCCCCAAAGGCCTGAGCTCACTCTCTAACCTCCATGTCATTGCACATGCTGTTCCCTCTGCCCAGAACATTGCATCCTTTGATTTGCTGCCTGGCTAACTCCAACTCATTCCTTGTGTGTTGGCCAGGTTAAGTTCTCCTGCCATCTGCATGCTTCTATAACCCATGGATCTTAGTTCTGCCACACCATGCTGTAATTACTTGTCTGCCTTCCATGCTCAACTATACATCAGAGACAATGTCTACTTTGCCCACCTTTGTATCCCTAGGGCTGGCACATAATGGAAGTTAATAAATATTTGGTGACTAAATGAATTATCCCTATTTCACAGATTAGCAACCTGAGGCAAGAGAAGGTAAATGATTCTCTCACCCAGGGACTGGAACCCAGATCAACCTGAATCCATGGTCTGTCTGCTCAGTGCTCTACAGAACTCAGCCACACACTAACCTAGTGTAGCCAGTAGCCCAGAAGAGAGAATGTAGGGGGCGTCCATAAGGAAAGGAAATTCACCAAACCAAGTGATGCTTTTATTAGGGTTAAATTCAGAGTTGTTTGCTGTCAGGAAGCCTGGGTTTAAGTCTCCTCTATGTGTTTCTCTGGGTCTCAGTTTCCCCATCTGTGAATCAGGAAGCTGGCGCAGATGATATCCAAGGAGGAATGTCTCAGGACCCCCTGGCCTGCCTCACTGGCTGTAGATGGACTCCTCAAACCACGTTCTTTCATTTCTCCTGGATCCCCGTCTTCCAGAATACATCACCAACCATCCATCTCCCATACCTTGACCCATACCTGCCCTTCTCCTAGCCAAAAGGGATTGAAATCAGAGTGTTTTCAACCCCCAAGCCCAACCCACCCCCCAAATCCACAGAGCCAGGAGATACTCAGTCCTCATCTCTCCTCTCAGGTTTTATTGACTGATGGAAACTACATCTTTGTCAGCCGCCAGCTCCATGGGGACAGTGCTGGGGACAGGGAACCTGAGATGATGCCAGATTTCAGCCTGAGAGCAGAGTTCTGGAAGGTGACCCAAGAGGGAGAAGAAAGGAATATGGGAAAAGGAATTGTAGGGGAGGAGGAGGAGAAGTTCCTCCTGTCTCCTATAACTCCCAAAGTTCAAAAACATCCCAGGCCTGAGCCCCTGATGCTTCTGGACTCTTGCCCAAGAACATGGAATCAACCCATGATCTCCAAATACAGCCTAGCTCTTGCTGGTTGCCAGGCTCTTATCTCGGCCAGTCCAGACTCCAGCCCAACCCAGGAAGGAGGCAAACCAGAGGAGAAGAGAGGAGGAGGAGGAGTTAGAGGTGGCCCCTCTGATTAGGGCAGATGTAAATGCTGCAGCAAACTGGTCAGAGGCTTTGCATAATGACACGGCAGCAGCTGCTATTGCTAGAGTTTGCTGGGGGCCCGGCAGAGGACAGGGTTGCGGGGTCCCATTTCCAGCAGCCAGGGAAGGGGATGGTAGAATTTGTGCTATCTGAGTGTGTGTTGGGAGGGGCAGCCTGACCCCTCAGGCAAGGCCTGGGGATGGCAGGTCACTGCAGAGGCCACAGCCCATGAAGCCTGTGTTTGCATTCCAAGCTTCAGAATCTGGGAATTGTTGGGCCAGATGGAGGGTGAGGACCTCGTGTAGAGGCCAGATCAGAGGTGAGGGTTCTCTTCTCTGAACCTCCAAAGCTCCATATCCCAGCCAGAGGGAGGTGGAAATCTCAACTCTCCTTCTTAGGCCAGACCTCAGATATCAGATCAAAGCTTTACCTTCAACTGAGAGCCCAAGGGGAGGAGCATGCAGGAGTCCAGCTGGGAGAGTGGGGCCAGTCCCAGTGTGCTGGGGCAAGGAGGCCAGGGGCCTGTGGAAGCCCAGTGCTTCAGCTCCCACCAGGAAAAATGTCTGGGGTGGGGGGAAGTTTCCCATTTCCTGGCTACTTCCCCACTATGTGGACCATTTCATGAAACTCCATTGCATAGTTCTCAGTAGGGGGGCAGAAGGGGTGTCCAAGCCTGCCTCTCTCTGCCTCCCAAAAATATGGCTTTGGAAAGGATTTCCCAAAAATGAAGAGGACCTTCTGAATGGGCAGGTCTACCCCTCACAGGGAAGAGATCTTGACGGTCTCAGGGAAGAGGCAAGGGGTACCCAGGCTGGAGTTCCTGAGGGTGCTGCCCGCCCTGCTGCCGCCACCAGGGGAGGAAGGTTGGCTCTCATCTGGGGTGTTGGCAGGAGGGGTAGGGATACTGATAATGGCAGCCACGAAGTCCCGGCTGTCGCAGTTCAGGTCAAGGCTGTCATGGGGCTTGGCATTGAGGCTGGAGCGGCTGTGGAAAAGATGGAAGGCTCTTAAAAAGTTATCTTAGGCCGGGTGCGGTGGCTCATGCCTGTAATCCCTGCACTTTGGGAAGCCAAGGCGGGTGGATCACCTGAGGTCAGGAGTTCAAGACCAGCCTGACCAGCGTGGTGAAACCTGGTCTCTACTAAATACAAAAAATTAGCCGGGCATGGTGGCGCATGCCTGTAATCCCAGCTACTTGGGAGGCTGAGGCAGGAGAATTGCTTGAACCCAGGAGGTGGAGGTTGCAGTGAGCTGAGATTGCACCACTGCACTTCAACCTGGGCGACGGAATGAGACTCCATCTCAAAATAAATAAATAAATAAATAAAAGTTATCAGCCAGGCGCGGTAGCTCATGCCTGTAATCCCAGCACTTTGGGAGGCCAAGGCAGGCGGATCACGAGATCAGGAGATTGAGACCATCCTGGCTAACATGGTGAAACTCCATCTCTACTAAAAATACAAAAAATTAGCTGGGCGTGGTGGCAGACACCTGTAGTCCCAGCTACTCAGGAGGCTGAGGCAGGAGAATGGCATGAACCCAGGATGCAGAGCTTGCAGTGAGCCGAAATCGCGCCACTGCACTCCAGCCTGGGCAACAGAGTGAGACTCAGTCGCCAAAAAAAAAAAAAAAAGTTATCTTAATACTTGCCATAGCAATCATGGCATTTATTGAGCACCTACTGGGTCCCTGACACTGCTAAGTACGTAAGTACTTCTCCTGCATCCCCAATTATGGTGGTAAAGAGTGAGGACTCTAGAGTCAGACAGTCCTGGGTTCAAATCCTGGTCCTATTTTAACCACTCCAAACCTCTCTCTTCTCTCATCTGTAGCGTGGAATGAACACTATCTCCCATAGGGTTGCTGTGGAGATTAAATGAGATTGAAAATGTTACGAAGTGCTCAGAGCAGTGTCTGGAACACAATGAGCATACACATGAAAATGTTCTCTCATGGTTACTCCTAACAGTGTCCAAATCCTTACAAAGTGTCTACAGTAGGATCTAAGGTGGGACCCTCACTCCTTTCTGAGTTTGCCTCTTACCACTCTCCCCCTAGCTCACTCTCCTCCACCCATGATAGCTTCCTTGCTATGTCTCTAATGTGGACCCACATCTGCTTCAAGGCCTTTGCACAGGCTGTTCACTCTGCTTAGAAAGCTCTTCCTTCCTCTGCATAGCCCACTCCTTTGCCTTCTTCAGGTCTTGGCTCAGTTGTCACCTCAGTAAAGCCTTCCCTGACCACACTATTAAAACTGCATCACCAACTGAGAGTGGTGGCTCATGCCTGTAATCCCAGCACTCTGGGAGGCCGAGGCAGGTGGACCACCTGAAGGTCAGGAGTTTGAGTTCAGCCTGGCCAACATGGTGAAACCTCATCTCTATTAAAAATATAAAAAATTGGCGGGTGCAGTGGCTCATGCCCGTAATCCCAGCACTTTAGGAGGTTGAGGTGGCCAGATCACAAGGTCAAGAGATTGAGACCATCCTGGCCAACATGGCAAAACCCCATCTTTACTAAAAATACAAAAATTAGCTGGGCGTGGTGGCACGCACTTGTAGTCCCAGCTACTTGGGAGGCTAAGGCAGAGAACTGCTTGAACCCGGGAGGCGGAGGTTGCAGTAAGCCAAGATCGTGCCACTGCACTCCAGTCTGGGCGACAGAGCAGGACTCCATCTCAAAAATAAATAAATAAATATATAAATATATAAATAAATATATAAATATAAAAAACTAGCTGGGTATGGTGGCGGGCACCTGTGATCCCAGCTATTCGGGAGGCTGAGGCAGGAGAATCATCTGAACCCAGGAGGCAGAGGTTGCAGTGAGCCGAGATTGCACCACTGCACTCCAGCCTGGGCAACAAGAGCAAAACTTCATCTCAAAAGAAAAACCAAAAAACGCAGCCAGGCGCGATGGCTCACGCCTGTAATCCCAGCACTTTGGGAGGCCGAGGTGGGTGGATCATGAGGTCAGGAGATTGATACCATCCTAGCCAACATGGTGAAACCCTGTCTGTACTAAAAATACAAAAATTAGCTGGGTGTGGTGCCGCATGCCTATAGGCCCAGCTTCTTGGGAAGCTGAGGCAGGAGAGTCGCTTGAACCCAGGAGGCAGAGGTTGCAGTGGGCCGAGATTGAGCCACTGCACTCCAGCCTGGCAAGAGAGCAAGACTCAGTCTCAAAAAAAAAAAAAAAAAGGCTGGGCGCGGTGGCTCATGCCTATAATCCCAGCACTTTGGGAGGCCGAGGTGGGCAGATCATGAGGTCAGGAGATCGAGACCATCCTGGCTAACACTGTGAAACCCTGTCCCTACTAAAAATACAAAAACTTAGCCAGGCGTGGTGGCAGGCGCCTGTAGTCCCAGCTACTCAGGAGGCTGAGGCAGGAGAATGGCATGCACCTAGGAGGCAGAGCTTGTAGTGAACTGAGATCGCGCCACTGCACTCCAGCCTGGGCAACAGAGCGAGACTCCGTCTCAAAAAAAAAAAAAAAAAAAATCTGCATCACCACCTGCTCTATGCTCTTTTTTCTTTTTTTTTTCTTTTCTTTTTTTTTTTTTTGAGACAGCGTTTTGCTGTTGTTGCCCAAGCTGGAGTGCAATGGTGCGATCTCAGCTCACTGGAACCTCCACCTCCCTGGTTCAGGTGATTCTCCTGCCTCAGCCTCCCAAGTAACTGGGATTACAGGTGCACACCACCACACCCAGCTAGTATTTTGTATTTTTTTTTTTTTTTTTGAGACAGAGTCTCGCTCTGTGGCCCAGGCTGGAGTGCAGTGGCCGGATCTCAGCTCACTGCAAGCTCCGCCTCCCGGGTTTACGCCATTCTCCTGCCTCAGCCTCCCGAGTAGCTGGGACTACAGGCGCCCGCCACCTCGCCCGGCTAGTTTTTTGTATTTTTTAGTGAAGACGGGGTGGATGGTCTCGATCTCCTGACCTCGTGATCCGCCCGTCTCGGCCTCCCAAAGTGCTGGGATTACAGGCTTGAGCCACCGCGCCCGGCCTAGTATTTTGTATTTTTAATAGAAACAGGGTTTCACTATGTTAGCCAGGCTGGTCTCGAACTCCTGTTATCCGCTCGCCTTGGCCTCCCAAAGTGGTGGGATTATAGGCATGAGCCACCGCACCTGGCCTGCTCTATGCTTTCTAGCCCCCATCCCTGACTGACTTTTCTCCTTGGCATTTACAGCTGTTTGATACGCTATATAATCTATGTATTTGTTTATTAACTGTCCTATCCCACTAGAATAGAAGTTAACTGTCTTATCCCACTAGAATAGGATACAGGGGCTTCTGTCTGTTCATTGACTGCCACATCCAAGTTGCCTACAACTGTGCCTGCCACACAATAGGTGCTCAATAAATGTTTGGTGAAAGAATGGATGAAGAGGCCAGGCAAGGTGGCTCGTGCCTGTAATCTCAGCACTCTGGGAGGCTGAGGCAGGTGGATCACTTGAGGTGAGGAGTTCGAGACTAGTCTGGGTAACATGGCAAAACCTCATCTCTACTAAAAATACAAAAATTAGCTGGGCATGGTGGCATGTGCCTGTAACCCCAGCTACTCATGAGGCTGCGGCAGGAGAATCGCTTGAACCCAGGAGGTGGAGGTTGCAGTGAGCTGAGATCCCGCCATTGCACTTCAGCCTGGGTGACAGTGAGACTCTGTCTCAAAAAAAAAAAAAAAAAAGAACGGATGAAGAATGAGATCCAGACAAGATAAGCCCAAGCTTCCAGTATGGAGGGGTTTGGGTTCGAGCTTGACTTGCTAGGCCTGGAGTCATGGAATCTCAGAGCTTCTGGTCTAAGCTCTGAGCTTCCCCAGGTGTGGCTAGCAGGTAGGAGGGCTGCTTACCTCTGGGGGGCAGGGCTCCTGCGCAGCCCTGCCAGCATGTCCAGCTCCTGCATGCTGCCACGGCTGACTGAGGCAGTGGAGTTGGCAAGGCGGATGGCACGGCGCTTGGCCCTGCGAGGGCAACAAGAAGACAGCAGGCTTCCGTGTCCCATTGGCTGGGAAGACACAGAGGTGCTGCGGCTGGTGCGGCCACCCGGCGAGACGGCTCCCAGGGCTTCGCTGAAGGTGAGCTCGTCTGTGAACTCATGACACTGTGGGCAGAAGGGAGGCGGGGTCACGGGGCATCCCATGGGAGCTAATCCCACCCTCAAGCCTTTGCTCAGGCTGTTCTCTCCTTTCTGTGAATTGCTCCCTCTTGCCTTCCCTTGCCCATCCTTCAAGGCTTGGCTCTCCTGTAGCCTCTTCCAGGAAGCTCTGTGTGATTTCCACAATTTGTAGTGAGCCTCCCATTCAAGGGAGAGAACTGGCATGGCCTCAGAGGGACCCCTTTCTATTCTGCTATACCACCCCACATTAGGCCTCACCGTTGTCTTCTCTAGACAGTGCAGCAAGTGGTGATGTTGCTGTTCAAAGGCAGAACGGTTCCTGACACAAAGAGCCTGTTCCTCGCCACTGCCGCTGTCCTGGAGTGGATGGAGCAGAGCAATAAGGGCAGCACCTTCCTCCCCCTGTTATGGCTCACTGCAACCCCAATCCAGGCCCCAACCCACCTCAAGGCCCCCATTCTGCTTGTACTGCAGGAAGGCATTGGTGGTACCACTCTTTGCCAATCGGATCCTTGCCAAGCGCACCTTCTGCAGAGAGAGGAGATAAAAGGTCAGGTGGGTAAGCCCCAAAGTAGACTGGCTTGGGGTGTAGGGAGTGGGAGGTGCTCGGATGGAAAGCGCAGTTACCTGCTGTGCTCGGCGCTTGTCAGCCCGCTGGTTCTGGTGGTAGATGCGGCTAAAGTTGGACACAATGACTGGCACAGGCAGGGCAATGACCAAGACGCCACTGAGTGAGCAGATGGACCCGAAAATCTTGCCAGCAATGGTGCTGGGCACCATGTCTCCGTAGCTGGAGTGAGGGGAGGTAGGCCAAGGTCAGGAAAAGTGCCCACCTACCTTTCAGTCCCTCACTCCATCCCATCTAATCCGGACTAGCTCTGTGACCCTGGCCAGGCACTCAAACCTTCTGAGTCCCTCAGTTTCTTGCTCTGTAAAATGTTGGGGAGTCAAGTGAGAAATGGGCCTGGCCCTCAACCCCTACCATCTGCTGCCCCTGTCCAAGCTACATACCAAGCACCTGAGTCAGCTAGAAATCTATGAAAACCAACAGAGGGGAGCATGAGGAAGTCACAGACAGTGAACACAGCCTCCTCCTAGGAGGAGAGTCCCAGCACCATGGGCCAGTCGAAGGGCTTCAAGTCCCAGGCTGAGTGTTTTGTTGGTTTTGGCTGCCTCTCTTACCCGGTCTAAGTAGGACCCCTTTTCATTTCCCTGTAGGGGAATCTTTGAAAACTGTCCACATATGACAAAACAGGGAGGAGCCTTGAAACCCCCCTGTCTTTCTCCATGCCACCCACCTCCCATAGAGATAGAGCCAAGCCAACCTTACTAACTTGTTCACAGAGAGCTCCCCTGAAGATCAGGGAGGTTCTGTAACTGACTCGCCCAAGATCACACTGCATACTTTTGTTCTGACCGCAGAACCAATCAGAACTCCTCCACAGAAACACAGTCTCTGCAGTCTTTAGCCTCTAAGCCTTTTCTCTGTGCCCTAGGATGGCTGTTCCTTATGTCTGTATTTTGACTCATTTTAAGCATTCAGGACTCTGCTCAAAAGTCTCTCCAACTTGGCCATTGCTGGCTCTCTGATGTGTCATCTCAGACCGTGTCCTCAACTATGAGACATGGGCAGACATCCACCCTCACAGAGTTGTTGTGAGGACTTGAATAGAGTAAAAGCCATCAAAATATTCAGTTCCAGCCTACTGTCAGCGCTCTGTATTTGTTTGTTGGTCTGATCCTGGACCTCCAACTAGAATTGGGGTTTCTACACTTTAGAAACCCCAAATCAACTTTTTTTGTACCTCTATGAAGAAACTGAGCAAACCCAATTCATTCAGTCATTCCTTCAACAGATACTGAGCACCAACTGTATACCCAATCCCAGTGATGGAAACTTAGAGAAGGATCACAGCATCTGCCCTAGACAGTATCTTTAGAAAGCTCATGAGTTCAATGATTCCATTTGATACTTTTATCCGAACTCTGTTTCTTCTGCAGGGATCTACCAAAAAAAAAAAAAAATTGAAAACATCTTGTTCTGGGAAACATCAAGGAATCACAAAGGCACAGAAGTAGTGCCCCACACAGCAGACAATTCTAGAAGGTTGGGAGACATGGGTCCCCAAAACAGAAAAAGAGGTGCTAGAAAGCCAACACCTATGTATCCTGCACCAGAAACATTCAGAGAACTTTCACAACTGTGATGTCATTGAATCCTCTCTAGATGATGAAGGGATCAGCATTCCCCATTTTACAGAGGGGAAAACTGAGACCATGAGAAAATGACATCAACAGAACGAGAGCAGCTAAGACAATCCTTGAACCCAAGTCTCCTGACCTAGAAAATCAAGGCGTTGTCAGAGCTGGGAGGGATCTGAAGAATAAGTCCAGCTCCTTCAGTTTGTACAGATTAGCAAACTGAAGCTCAAAAAGAGAGAGAGGCCAGGCACGGTGGCTCACGCCTGTAATCCCAGCCCTTTGGGAGGCCAAGGTGGGCGGATCACCTGAGGTCAGGAGTTTGAGACCAGCCTGGCCAACATGGTGAAATCCCATCTCTACTAAAAATACAAAAATTAGCTGGGCATGGTGGCATGCACCTGTAATCCCAGCTACTTGGGATTCTGAAGCGGGAGAATCACTTGAACCCAGGAAGCAGAGGTTGCAGTGAGCTGAGATCTTGCCACTGCACTCCAGCCTGGGCAACAGAGTAAGACTCCATCTAAAAAAGAAAGAGGAAGGAAGGAAGGAAGGAAGGAAGGGAGGGAGGGAAGGAGGGAGGGAGGGAGGGAGGGAGGGAGGGAGGAAGGAGATCATTCCTTTAAACTTCCTAATTTTACAGAAAGGGTGAGTGTAATCGGGCAGCCCCCAACATGGAGTCCGCACTCACCCAAGCGTGGTCATGGTGACAATGGTATACCAGAAGGCCGCAGGGATGCTTGTAAAGTTGGTCTTGTTTGTGCCCTTCTCAGCATAAAACATGACAGTGGCAAAGATGATGATGGCCATGGTTAGAGAAAAGAGGAGAAAGCCCAGCTCAGAGGCACAGCTCTTGAGTGTGTAGCCCAGAATCCTCAAGCCCTGTGAGTGCCTGGAGAACTTGAAGATGCGAAACACCCGGAACACACGCAGGGTGACAAAGGCGCCTGAGACATCGTCGTTCTTGGGCACCAAAAGTCCAATGTAGTAGGGCAGGATGGCCACCACGTCAATGAGGCTCATGACACTCCGCAGGAAGCGGCAACGGCTGGGGGCAGCAAACAGCCGCAGGAGGTATTCACCTGTGAATATGAGTACACAGGCTGTGTCCATGCAGAAAAAGGCCTGTGGGAAGCGTTCGCCACAGGGCTGCTCCCTCGAGGACCTGCGTGCAGCGCCGCGGCATGGGATGGTCTCCACCACATTGGCGATGACCGACACGGCGATGAAGAAGCCGGTCACGTAGTAGAAAACGAGGGCTGCAGTGCTCGTATGTGGATTCTCGAAGGCCCGCCAGAGCCGCTGCCGCAGGGAGCTGCCCGCAGGCAGGGCTGGGCCGTCCCCGGCCTGCTCGGCCTCCTCATCCTCTGCCAGGCGCTCGGCATTCTCCTTCTTTCGGTCCCGATACTCTTCAAGGCAGCAGTCACCAACTAGCTCGGGGACCAGGCCGTAGAAGGCCAGCTCTTCGTCGAAGGCCTGGATGCACTCCTGCCGTGGGCAGTGCAGACGCCCCGTTCGGTAGAAGTTCAGCACATGACGGAACATGTCAGGGTCGCGATCGAAGAAGTACTCGCCTGAGTCAGCATCGTAGAAGAATTCCTTCTCTGAGCTGCCCAACAAGGTATCTGGGTAGCGGTCCAGCGTATTCTTCCAGGTCTCAAAGCGCCGTCCGCTCACGTTCACCACCAGAACCTCATCTCCTCGAGATGTCTTCACCCCCGGTGCTGGGGGCAGGGGCTGCTGGGCCAGGGGCAGCCAGCCCACCGCTGCCGCCCGGGCAAAAGGCAGCCACGTGGCCAGGCCTGCCGCCATCGTGCCGCTCCCCAAGCCCAGGGAGACTTAGTGAGGGTGGCGTGTAGGAGAATGTGGCTGTCTCCAGGATGGTGGGGGCTTGGAGACGCCTTTAGCCACCTGAACAAGGAAACTGGGGGTGTCTAGAGAGGCCAAGAGGAACCAGGAGGAAGAACTAGAGAGATGGGAAGGAGTTTGGGGGACATTTACAGAGCCTAGGAGGGGCCTGGGCAATGTCCTGAGGGACTAGGAAGGGACTTGGGGACATAGAGAACCGAAAAGAGGTGTGGGGATGGGGCCAAGAAGGAGCTGAGGGAGGGTTTATAGAGACTGAGATGATTCTAAAGGAGTTAGCCTGTGCCTGAGAGGTGTCTGGGGGCGTCTAGAGGGGCCAAGAAACACGTGAGGAGTTCTCTACACTCTCAAGAGTCTCAGGGAAGGCAGAAGAGCCTGGAACTCCTTTGTGGAGGTGGAGAGGAGACTGGGGCATCCGGAGGGGTAGAAATGGGACCAGAGGTGCTTGAAAGAGACTGAGAGTGTCTGGAAGTGGGGGTTCTAGAGGGGCTGAGACAGGTGAGGAGGGTTGTCCACACCCTCAAGCTTCTAGGGGAAGCATAAGAGGGTTAGACCCCCCTCATGGATCTGGAAAGGCAGCTGGTGCATCTGGAGGGGTGGCTGTGGATCCAGGAGGTTGTAAAGAGGCTGAAAGGTGTCTTGGGACTGCCTAGAGTTGCCAAGAATAGCCTGGGGGGATGTCTGTACTCTAGAGGAGTTCTGGGGAAGAAAGGGCTGGAGAGGGGAAGAGGTTATCCAAAGGGGTGGATAGGGGGCTGGGTTATTTTTTGAGAGGCTGAGAGTTATCTGGGGGAGGTGGGTATCTAGAGGGGCCAAGAAAGCCTGAGTCGACAGTCTCAGGAGTTCTACGGGGAGGAAAAAGGGGCCTGGGGAATTCCAAGGAGCTGGGACTCAAATGTTAGGAAGTTGGGCACAGTCCCAGAGCACCCAGGGGATCTATGAAGACTAAATAAGAGGAAGGGGGTTACCCCCAAAATGGGGTTAAGAGGAAGGTGGGGTGTTGAAAGGGAGTTGGGTGTGTCTCCAGGGAGGGGGGCTCCTGGGCTTTGCAGGAAGCTGGCAGGGGAGGCCGGGAGAAGGCTGGGTCCCACCGTTGGGGGCAGGTCTGGGGAAACCACACCCCAAGGGGCTGGCGGTGTGTGCTGGGCAGTGGCAGTAGCAGCAGCGGCAGCAGGAGGAAGAGAAGCAACCACAGCCAGGCGTAGGAGAGGTGGCATAGGCAGGGAGAGGGCGCAGGGTCCCCGGAAGGAGGCCTGGGAAGGGCAAGGTCCAGTGGGACCCCTGGGGACTATCCCAGGATGGGCTAGGGCATGGGGGCTGGACCAGGGAAGGATGAGGACAGCGCTAGTGGTGGTCCCCCTCCCCCTCCCTCTCGGGCCGTCCTCACCTGTGTCCCCGTTGCAGCAGCAGCAACAGCGGTGGGGCTGGGGGTACCAAACACCCGAGCTCCTGGCCCCCTCTGCAGAGCTGCCTGAGTTCTCCTCCTCCTCTGGCTCTCTCTCCCCGCCCCTCCGAGCTTGCCGGGAGATGGAGGGAGGCAGGGAGGGGCCTCGTGGCTCCCCGAGCCCCCTCCCCTAGGACAGCCAGAGAGGGACCCTGGGGAGACTCCGCCTCCTACAAAGCTGGTTGGGCCTCAGTCGCGTCATCTGGAAAATGGGGGTGGCAGGGAACTTTGCCAATTCTCTCCACCTCCTTCCTGGACTCCCCTCTCTTCCTGCCCAGCTCCTACCCCCTCTGCCCCCAGGGGCCCCCACCCCCACTCGCCTGAATCAGCAGCACTTAGCAGATCCGATCGATGGGGAGGCGTCTGTTAATGGCCCCAGAGCGGAGTGCCACAGGGAATGATGCAGCGCTGTCCCCTCCCTGCCCCCCAGACTGTGGAAGGGCAGGAGAGCCAGGAGTCGGGGGTAATTGCTGGGGAGTGTTTCTCTAGATGGCCAAGCTTCTGAAGCTGCCCCCTTGAGGGATGCAGCATGGGTTAGAGCCCCAGCTCTAAGACTTCGGCTGTGGGACTGGAGCACACGACTTCCTGTTTTTAGATATGAAATGAGGATAAAGGGAGTGTAGAGGGGGACAATCCAGGTCCCACCCCTCTACCAAGTCGTCTCTCAGGCAGGCCCCACTCTGAGGGGGCAGTCTCTCTTATCTGTCCACATCCAGTGGCCTCAAATCACACCTCCTCCGCTAGAGGGCTCTGCTTCTGGATGGCAGGAGCACTGATTATGGAATGCCTCTGGCTGGCTATGGGTGGGTTCAGACCCCACCTTTGCCACTGACTTGCTGCATCCTTGAGCAAGTGACTTGCATTGTTTCCTCATTTGTCAGATGGAGAGACTTATCCCAAGTTGATAGCATCATTTGGAGCATTACATGATGTGAAAGGTGATAGCACTGGACACAGCACACACCAGGGATGCTTAATCTTAATTAAAGGAGTGTGATGACAGGGGCACTGTAACGCAGGGCCAGGCCTAGCCTTTCATCCGATTACCCACCCATGTAATCTTCCATTTGCCCACTTGGCACACTCCTGATTTGTCCATTTCTACATCCATTCCTCCACCTACCCATCCATCCATTCTCCCACCCACACAACCAATTACTCTATCCATCCCTCCACCCACCCATCTGTCCACTTAGTTGTTAATCTACCCACCCACTCATTCATCCATGTGTAAGTTCACCCCATCTGCCTATTTGCCAATCTATCTGTATGCATCCATCCTCCACCCATCTCTTCCCACCTGGAATACACGCAGGGTGACATCCTCTGCCCTTTGCTGTCCATACATAGCTCCACTCATCATTTCTTCTCCCACTCTTTACCCTTCCCATTCATGAGCTCATCTACCCATCCATCCATTCCCCTAACCATTGGTCCATTTACTCCCGACCTGTCCATAAACCCATCCATCCACCTAGCTACCTAATTCCTCCACCCATCCATTTGTCCATAGACCTATTATCCATCTGTCCATTTACATCTCTACTATCCATCCTCTATTTATCCACCCACCAATCTATCTATCCATTTATTCATCCAACCACCTATCCATCCATCCATTTATTTGCCAACCTATCCATCATCAGTCCATGCAACTGTCCACTTATTCATCCATCTGTCCATCCAACCACTTATCCATCCCCCCGTCTATCTACTCATCTATACCCACAATCCCATACATGTCTACCCATGTACATATCTGCAGGTATTTCAGGTCTACTCAGTTTGAGGGGCTGGTCAGCAGTAAATGGAGACAGGCTGGATGAGGGTGAGGAAAAGAGAGTAACGTTGCAGCCAGAGATCTCCCTCCCTATTCCAATGGTGTGAACCTCCCCGCCCCCAGCACGTCCCTCTTGGTTGAAAAGAATGAGACGAGACAGTCGGTGGGTGGGCCCGTCTGGCCAGATGGTATTTTGGCTGCACAGCCTTTACACACACACACACACGTGTTGCTAGAACGCTGAACATGGACCACACACCCACCCAACATCCCCAATCCCAAATGCAGAGTAGCCAGGCTCCAGACATAAATTAAAAAATAAAATAAAATAAAATAAAAAAGAGTTGGTCTCTGGGAAGGAGAGCTCATGCAGAGATGAAGACAGAAGCCCTTGGGAGCCAGGACCAAGAAGAAGGAGAAATCCCTGCCCCTTCCTTCAGGATCCCCACTCCCTGGTGGCCTCTGCCCTAAGACAGGATCATTAACACTAACCATCAGGCCTCTAGTCCCTTTAATGTCCAGTCTCCCAAGCTATTTGATTTTGGCTTCAGCCCTCATTTCCCCACCACAGCCCAAGGGAATGGCATCCTAGGGGGTAGGAGAGGGAGGAGGTGGGTGCAGCCTGCAGGTCTTTAGTTGGTTTCTCCTGGCTCTAGGTCTGGGTCAGGAGGCCCCACGCACTCCTTGCTGAGCCGCACAATTTCCTGGGACAGAACTTCCATGTCCTAAGAAACAAATGAACCATCAGGGGCCAGAAAAGGGGACAGGCTGCTCCCTTGCCAAATGCAGAGTATCATCTGTGATTTCCTTCACACCCTTTCATTAATCAATGCTCAGCTGTGTCTGGCCTGGGATGGGAAGGTACTCACAGCACCCCCAGCAGTGGGCTGGGCTCAGAAAAGTCATGAGGATGGGTGGGGAGCTACAGATATGGGAGTGGGACGCCTCCTGCGGCATGGTGCTGCTGCAGGATACATCACCACTCTGGCCACCTGCCCTTCTACTAAGTGTGAGCTTGCTTCTCAAAGGCAGGAGCTGGGTCTGACTCCTTTCTGACTCTCAGAGATGGGGAAAGTCTTTGGGTGGCAGGTTGGGCAAAAAGATGTGTGTGTGGACTCATGGGCATGGGGGATCTGTGGTAGACAAATTGGTGGACGAATGAATTGTCCAGAGGACAGATGGAGACGAACAGGTGGGCAGGCAGGTCACCGGGTGGGTGAAAGGTAACACAAGGGGCAATTGATGAGTAGATAAGAGAATGATATGTCAAGAAATGGGTGGCAGGACATGGGGTAGACAATGAGATGAGTAAGTAGTAGATTGGGCAGATGGACAGATGGGCAAATGGTTGGGTGAATGTGTAGATAAATGGATGAGCGGATACATGGAAGGAATGAATGGATAATAACTTGATGAGACAGTGGAAGATAAGAGCATGATGGGGTAGTTGATGAGTGGGTAGGAGGATAGCTGGGAGGACAGGCTGGGTGGGTGGGCAAGGGGACTGGCAGATAACCCAGGGACTGTGGCTGGGTAGGCAGGTGGCTGGGTGAACAGATGGGCAGGCTGGCAGGCCACACTCGCCTTGTGCAAGTGCATATTCTTGGTGAGCTGCTCCTCCAGCATGTTCTGCAGCTTCTTGTTCATCTCCCGAAGGTTCTCGTCGCCTGGCTTCACTAGGTCTCTCAGGACGCTGCCCAGCCCGCTGCGGTCTGTGTGGCCTGCTGCCACAGACACATCTGCAAGGGCCCAGGCTGAGAACAACCCCCTCGGCAGAGCCAGAGGAGAGCCAGGCAGAGCCAGAGGAGAAAAGAGGGAGACGAATACCAGGGAAGAAGGGAGCAGGAAAAGCCATGTCATGGAGGACAGAGGCTTTGACATATGAAACCTAGCTCTGTCACTCACTAGCTCTGCGGCCCCGAGAAATGAGGATAACTAACTTGTGGAACTGGAAAGATGCACATGACTGCGTGTGAAGCACAGAGCACACAGAAAGTCCTCAGCACATGTTGGTCAGTATGATTCTGATTAATAAAGAAAAATCTGTGAAGGAGAAGGTTTGAAAGAAAGGAGCAAAAGCAATGAAGATACAGAGAAGGAAAATATATGGAGCTAGAACAGTATAGACAGCGAGACAAGATGAAGGAGTGGGGTGAAAAAGAGAAACAGGGAGAAGAGAGAAGGGAGAGAGGAGAGGAAGATGAGGCACAGGGAGAGGAAAGGAGAAAGCGGACAGAGAGACACACTGGAGAATGGAGAGTGGAGAGATGACAGAGAAAGGAAGAAGAGGGAGGAGGCGAGATCAAGAGACAGTGCTTTCCTGTTCTCCCCTCCACAGGCCATGGTCTTGTCAGTAGCTTCGCTGAGTTCCGAGAGGAGAGGAGAGAAGCCGCAGCACATAATGGAGAGGGAGGGCCAGGTGAAGGCTGGACCAGGGCTGAGGGCCAGGGAAAAGGGGGCACTGACCGATCCGGCTGTCCATGACGTAGGTCTCAATGATGGCGCTCTTCCGGCAGAGGTCCTCTGCCATGGAAGCACTGCTAACCTCCAGGTGCTTCACCTGCAAGATGGCCCAGCCCACCTGAGACCCCTCTACTGTACATGTTCACACATGAGGCGGGCCCTGGACAGACCCCACACCCCCAAGGGCACTTCAAGTGGGGATGGGCAGGCAGGCAGGCAGCACCTTCTCCTCCAGCATCCATTTCTCCTGCTGTGTCTCTGCCAGCCGCTGAAAGAGCTCAGCCACTTCCTCATCTGACAGCTCTGCTGGCCGAGGGGGCTGGGCCTGAGGGCTGCTGGATAAGGACTGCAGGAAAGAGAAGGCGAGAGGCCAGACCCAGGCTCAGCACCACTGACCGCAGACAGGTGTCAGGGACTGGGGAGGAGAACCAGGCCAGAGGTGGATGAGAGAACGTGGGCCCTGAAGATGGGACTGTAGGCCCATCTTGGTACCCTCAGACTCTGTTTTCCCCTCTGCCTAAACGGGGGTAGAGAGTAACCACATCAGAGCCTTGTGGAGAGGATTAAAGGAAGATCCCAAAGCAAATGCGATCTAACTTCCAGCTGACAGGAAAACTGGAAGAGAGAGGGACATGTTAAATCATACTACCAGGAAGCCAGCAGAAAAACCCAAAACGTAGCATACTTCCTGTGGGGTGACTGGGCTGGCCTTTTCAACAAGTTGGTCTCAGGAAAAAAGGGACCACACTAAAGAGATTTAAGGGTCATAAAACAACCAGATGTAACATGTGCTCTGAATCTGAATGCTAGTTTTCATAAAACCAGCAAGAAAGGACATTCTGGGGCCAACTAGAGAAATCTGGTTAAGGTCAAAGTATTAGATGACATTAAATTTTTTTTTTTTTTTTTTTTTTTGAGACAGAGTTTCGCTCTTGTTGCCCAGGCTGGAGTGCAATGGCAAGATCTTGGCTCACTGCAACCTCTGCCTCCCGGGATCAAGCGATTCTCCTGCCTCAGCCTCCCGAGTAGCTGGAATTACAGGCATGCACCACCACGCCCGGCTAATTTTTGTATTTTAGTGGAGACAAGGTTTTGCTATGTTGGCCAGGCTGTTCTCAAACTCCTGACCTCAAGTGATCTGCCCACCTCAGCCTCCCAAAGTGCTGGGGTTACAGGCATGAGCCACCACGCCCAGCCCTGAACCAAGAATTTATAATGGTGACTTCTGGATGGTGAAAATATTATTTTTTTTGACATTTAAGGTTTCTTGGTTTTTGTTTTTTCTAAATAGAGTCGGAGTTTCACTGTGTTTCCCAGGCTGGTCTTAAACTCCTGAGCTCATGTGATCCACCCACCTTGGCCTCCCAAAGTGCTAGGATTATAGGGATGAGCCACCATACCCGGCCAGACATTTAAGGTTTTAAAAAATCTTTGCTCATTTGTGGTTTTTAAAAAATGTACTACAATGCGCACATACTATTTGTGGAACATAAAAAAGTTATTTCCAAAGGAAAGTGACTGGTAAAGAGGCTGACATGATAGCTGGCAATAATAATTCGTGATGGTTACAAGTTGGAAAAAGGGACCTTCTCCTTGGATGGTGCACCTACTATGAGCCACGTACTTTATGGCACCAGAGAAGGGGGAATTAGCCCACAGATGATGGAACAGAAAGTCAGACAGAGAGAGAATGGCCTGTCCCACATGTAGCAATCCGAATCCAAGTTGGTGGGCTTGGGGAGAAGTTGGCAAGAAAATATGTGTGCTGCGCCCAAGGTAGGAGATGGATTTAAGTGAGGAGAAAAGGGGAGGAGTTCTCAGATTTTTGGGTTGAGAGAAGCTGGAGCTGTAGGTTCTTCCTTTCCCCTTACCCTGGCTGGAACAGCCGAGCTCTCCTTTTCCCGCAAGATCTCCCGGTAGCTGAAGGAGGAGATGCTACTGCTGTCCCCTGTCTGGGTCCGGCTTGGTGAGTTCATCTCTGAGAGAACCAGCTCCTCAAGGCCTGGGTGGTGGAGGGAAGAGAAACTTGAGCCCCAATACCCCTGAGTCCCAGAGCAGCAACCAGCAGGAAGAGGCAGAAACAGATTTAACAGAGATGGAAAGAGAGACACCGAGGCATGGGGAAAGGCAGAAGCAGACAGGAGGACAGGGAGAGACAGAGACAGAAAAAAGAGCTGAGGCCGGGCGCACTGGCTCACACCTGTAATCTCAGCACTTTGGGAGGCCGAGGCGGGTGGATCACTTGATGTCAGGAGTTCGAGAACAGCCTGGCCAACATGGAGAAACCCTGTCTCTACTAAAAATACAAAAATTAGCGAGGTGTGGTGGTGCATGCCTGTAATTCCGGCGACTCAGGAGGCTGAGGCAGGAGAATCGCTTGAACCTGGCAGGCGGAGGTTGCAATGAGCCGAGATCGCACCATTGCACTCCAGCCTGGGTGACAGAGTGAGACTCCGTTTCAAAAAAAAAAAAAAAGATAAGAAAAGAAAGAGCTGCCTTTCTGGAGAAACACATACAAAAAGAGAGGGAGAAAATGGAAGAGGTTGGAGAAACACAACGATGTGGGTACACATGGGCCTCAAATGGCAGACACACTTGGACACAGGGTT